ACGAACCCCTCATCTAGTCCAACACGCCTACCGGATACGGGATCCGAGCCATTGATCCAATTCCTTTGTGCTTGAGCTAACATGACTTTGCGCCAGACTTCGAGGAGTACCAGAAGTTGTACAAGCAGTCCATCACCGAGCCCAATGTGTTCTGGGCTGAGCGCGCCCGCGAGCTCCTCACGTGGAGCAAGGATTTCCAGACTGTCCACAGCGGTTCCCTCGTCAACGGCGACAACGCTTGGTTCGTAGAGGGCGAGCTCAACGCCTCGTACAACTGCGTCGACAGACACGCCCACAAGGACCCCAACAGAGTCGCCATTATCTACGAGGCCGACGAGCCCGGTGAGGGAAGGAATGTCACCTATGGCGAGCTCCTCAGGGAGGTCTCCAAGCTCGCTCATGTCCTCACCAACTTGGGCGTCAAGAAGGGAGACACCGTCGCCATCTACCTCCCCATGATTCCCGAGGCCATCGTTGCCCTTCTTGCTTGCAGCAGAATCGGCGCCATCCACTCGGTCATTTTCGCCGGTTTCTCCTCCGACTCCCTCCGCGATCGTGTCGTCGATGCCCAGTCCAAGGTCGTCATCACCACCGATGAGGGCAAGCGCGGTGGCAAGCTGATTGGCACCAAGAAGATCGTTGATGAGGCTCTCCAGCAGTGCCCCGATGTTCGCAACGTTCTCGTCTACAAGCGCACCGGCGCTGACATCAACATGACCCCCGGCCGTGATCTCTGGTGGCACGAGGAGGTTGAAAAGTACCCTGCTTACTACACCCCCGTACCCATGGCCTCTGAGGATCCTCTCTTCCTCCTCTACACCTCTGGTTCCACCGGCAAGCCCAAGGGTGTTGCTCACTCCACCGCTGGTTACCTGCTTGGTGCTGCCATGACCGGCAAGTACGTTTTCGACATCCACGACGGTGACCGGTACTTCTGCGGTGGTGACGTCGGCTGGATTACCGGTCACTCCTATGTCGTCTATGCCCCGCTCCTGCTCGGTGTCTCGACCGTCGTTTTCGAGGGTACCCCCGCCTACCCCAACTTCTCCCGCTACTGGGACATCATTGAGAAGCACAAGGTCACCCAGTTTTACGTTGCTCCCACTGCCCTACGCCTGCTGAAGCGCGCCGGTGACCACCACGTCCGCAACGAGATGAAGCACCTCCGTGTTCTCGGCTCCGTCGGTGAGCCCATCGCCGCCGAGGTCTGGAAGTGGTACTACGATGTTGTCGGCAAGGGCCGTGCCCAGATTTGCGACACCTACTGGCAGACCGAGACTGGCTCCAACGTCATCACTCCCCTTGCTGGCGTTACCCCCACCAAGCCCGGTTCCGCCTCTCTCCCCTTCTTCGGTATCGAGCCCGCGCTTGTCGACCCCGTTACCGGCGAGGAGATCCACGGCAACAACGTCGAGGGTGTCCTGGCCTTCAAGCAGGCCTGGCCCAGCATGGCTCGCACCGTCTGGGGTGCTCACAAGCGCTATATGGAGACCTATCTTCATGTGTACAAGGGCTACTACTTCACGGGCGACGGTGCTGCCCGCGACCACGAGGGCTTCTACTGGATTCGCGGCCGTGTCGACGATGTCGTCAACGTCAGTGGCCACCGTCTCAGCACTGCCGAGATTGAGGCTGCTCTGATTGAGCATCACTCTATTACCGAGGCTGCTGTCGTCGGTGTCGCCGACGAGCTCACCGGCCAGGCCGTCAACGCCTTCGTTGGCGTCAAGGAGGGTACCGAGATCAACGACGCTCTCCGTAAGGAGTTCGTCCTTCAGGTCCGCCGCAGCATCGGTCCCTTCGCTGCTCCCAAGGCCATCTACGTCGTCCCTGATCTTCCCAAGACTCGCTCTGGCAAGATCATGCGCCGTATTCTGAGGAAGATCGTTGCCGGCGAGGAGGATCAGCTCGGTGATATCACCACTGTAAGTTTCAGTCCACAATCCGGATAGCTGCATGCAAGGTACTGACAAATGGAACACAGCTCTCCGACCCCAGCGTCGTTGCCAAGATCATCGAGACCGTCCACGAGCAGCGCAAGTAAAGAAAGAGAAAGCCAAAAAAGAAGTAAAAAGCATATAAACCTATCTAATCTTTTTCTTTATTTCGACATGGGGCAGGGGATTTTTGGGAATTCATATACCACCAGGGCTAGCCTACTAGTACACTGCAAGTCAGTTGTCAGTAGTGGTAGTCAGTGTCCAGGAAAAGGGACAAAAGGAGGGAAAGGGAAACGGGAATGACTATATATACCGGTTTTAGGACAAGGGAGAGGAAAGGAAGGACGCGCGGTCAGTGGTTGGACCGTCATATATGTCGTCTCAGGATGCAGGCACATTTGTTGAGAGAATGAGCGATGTTTTCTTTTTTGGTTATGTCATACCATGGTACCATTTTTTACAACAGTATATCATTTTTTTCTTTTCTTGAGTTATTACATGTTCCTGGATACCTATTTTGGACAAAGATCAATAGATTACAGGTTTGCATCTACGTATGTACGTTTTCTCGGTCAACTTATTTGTGCCGTAAGTAGCCAGCAGAAGGCTTCCTCGTCTCTCTGACATGGAATATAAACAAGGTTGAATGTTATCACACCATGAAGTCAACAAAACCTTACCCCCTTACAGCAAGCACCAGAAAGAACACAATTGTTATCGGCGTTAAGGGGGTGGCTAGTGCCCATGCCATAACAAAACAAAACAAAACAAACCCCTTAACCACCTATATCAGCCTCACGAACGAGCCTCACGAACGAGCCTCACAAACAAGCCTCAGTCACCTACCTACCTCTACAATAACCGTGGGTGTGAGGTTAGCTCTCTGGCACGCAACACCCACGGTTATCATCCACATCCATATTTCGACCCAAGCCCAGCCCCAGCAAAGCAAAGCCTACCTCACAGGTAGGTAAGCGCGGCATGCCAAATCGATGGCGGTGAAAGACATACCTACCACGGCATCTTGCATGCCCATGCCCGCTTACATACATACATTTGTCCAGCTCGCCCACGCCCATCATTCGTCGACATCGTACAGCATTGCCCGCATGAAGGATTTCCGCAGGAGCAGCCGCGCTTATTCCCGATTCCAAGGGCTTGGCTTAGCTTACGTTACCGTTCAGCGAGCGCGGTTGGGTGGTGGGTGGCAGAGTAAAACAAGCACTGATAAGCCCTGACAAGCCCTGCAAAGCGTACGTGTACGTGTATAGAATCAGCGAGAAGTCAGGAAAGGCTGAGGATGGTTGATTGATTGCCCTTTGGGGTTGGATGTGATAACGACATTTTCTCAAGATCTTGGTTAGATGTGCGACAAAGTAATGGTTTGATATGACATGGGGTAGATACTTTGAGTCAAAGGCTCGAGATTTTGCCCAAAGGAAACGAGGCTAGACCTGAGCCTGAGTGCGGGACTGCTTTTAAAAACCCGGTATTGTTGAAGGTTTGTGGTCGTGGTCGTACGCTCGGCTATTTATAGGTCAGACGGACTCTCACAGTATGTGTACGTGTAAAGCTAATGTGTGCTAATGTAGTGCGATGTCGATACTAGTCTAGGACTCTAGGGAAGTCGGGTTGATATGTGCCGAATCCCGTTTCTGCAAGACATCATTTTTGGGCTCTCTCTTTTTCCGTTCTCATTTGTTTCTCTCTCTTTTGAACCTTTTGTTCTCTTCTTCGTTCAACTTGCCCAGCAAGGTACCCATATCTACTCGTCCGATTTCATATCGGACATGTTCACTGCCGGTGTCAAAAGCGTTACTAGGTGTTAGTGCTGCAACCTCACTGGTTGGTGCGGGAGGTCAGAGATCTGAAACGCAAGGGGGCACGGGGGAAACGACGGACCCAACGATAAAAAAAAAGGTGCCGTTCGTCACAACTTCACAGGGCTGGGCTAGTGACGGAGTGCTGACAGGCTTCGACGGGTTCGGCAGGGTATCTACACTAGGTGTGAACCATCGAACGGGTCGTGGATCATATTTCCATTGTGAGAGACCTTTATCATGGACCTACCGGAACTGAGTGAACGGGAGGGGAATTGCGATTTACAAACAAAACCGGTAAACGAAGATGTCCATTGACAAATTCCGTTTTTCGTATTTCGATCTTCAAAAATCTCGAAGATCCAGGTTTCGGTCGGTTGTCGATGCCGTTGCCGATGCCGAGACTTATGAAATTTAACGAGAGATCTCGCCCAGACCCTCAACTCTTTTCGCTTCGAAGATTAGTAAAGGACCTCGGTATGTTCGTCAGCAGATGTCTCGTAGACGCGTGGCGGCTAGGCACTAGTCTAGCTGGGCGCAATGTCTGGGCGGTAAGGGAATGGAATGGAAATGTTGTTCGGTGGAAAATGGAAGTTGTTCTCTCGCGCATATGGAAGTGCATCAAGACCACTGCACTGCAAACCAAGACCTGCGGGAGGCAAGAAAGACCAAGCCTGGCGCAGTCGGGCAGCCACAGAAAAATAACTTGTTGTCTCTCTTTTGGGCGTGCGTCCGCTGTTGCCCAGGTGGCTTCTTGAATACTGTACGCGCGGCCGTGGCTTTGACAATGGGAAAGGTGAGATGCTGTTATCCCCAAAAGGTCAGGTCGCTGATAAATGCTGAGATGAGATCTGTGAGCCGCACCTCACCCCCTTTCAATCATGTTGTTGCCGCAGCAGCGATAATGAAGTGGAATGATTCTGCTTGTGGTGTCGGGTCCCCGGCCGGGCGCTACCTAGCACAGTGCCAGGGACGTGTCACTTGTCCAGTCTTTCAATGGAGACGCTTGGGGTTGCTTGGCCTCATCTTGGCTGAGGCGCTGGGCGGCCAATTATAGGCCTTGGACTTTGCAGTTTCCCGCCTCCCTTCTTTTTGTTGCCCACCCACCTCAACCTGAGAACCCTCTTCATCGACTGGTCCAAGTCCCTGCTGCCCTCCTCCCGTCTCTCTTTTTGTCTTGTTCGTTCTTTCCTCTCACTGTTTGTAACTACAACCCACCACCACTCAGTAGTAATCACCACAGTATTCCCGGCCGCCGATTCATATCCTTTTTTTCGCTCGCTACGTCGGCTGTCGGCGCTGATTGATGCTCACGCAACCACTCCGACGGACCTCAACCTTTTGCACCGCCACCATCTTTTTCCAACTTTCCCCTCCACACGGGCGGCACCCTGGAGGTTAAGGTTTTGGGCATTCCCTCTTTTTCGCCATTCGTTTCTGCATCTGTCGATTATTGTTTACCGGGACATAAACTTTTCTCGCTTCCGTTTCCCAAACTTCAGCAGCTCTTCCTTCCAGGACCCGCCTGCCTCTCTTAATACATCGACCGCCAACAGCTGCTGTAAGAGGCATCCGACAACAAATAAGCAAACAAGCGGGGAAGAACTAGAACCGTTAAAGCAAACTACCTACTGCGAGTGTACACATATTTTGAATAGTTTGTGGATTTACCATAGCATTCATTTCCACGAAATTCTCGTCTCGCTCGTTTCTTGTCCATTCCAGGAATTAGTAGCCGATTTTTGCATTCTTTCGATGGACTACGGGCGGTGCGTATAGAAAGAACACTGTCTTTTAGAGCTGAAGCATGTTTGTTTCCAAGGCCTTCGCGGCCGTATTTGCTGCCGTTGCCCTGCTTGTCCAGTCTACTACAGGTATGTTCAATCGTCCTCTTCTTTTCCTTCGTCTGAACACCATCTGGCTAACATGGCTGGCCTGAAGCACATTCGACGGAGAGACTACCTCTATCATACATTAGCCGAGTCGACGATGCCGTGATCAACACGCCCTCGCACAGGGTACACTCCCAGTCAGCCTTCGACCTCAGCTTCTATCTCCACGATCGCCAGCAAAAAATTCGCTTTGTTCTAGAACCGAACCACGATATCCTTCCCGACGATGCAACAATACACATCCTGGGTGTTGATGGCAAGGTCAAGAAGATAGAAGCTATCGCCAGGGACGAGCACAAGGTCTTCAAGGGCACCACGTTTGTTCAAAGGGAAGGCATGACGGACGCAGACTGGAGGCAAGCGGGATGGGCACGAGTCTACGTTACGAAGGATGGAGAGCGACCCATCTTCCAAGGATCCTTCAGGGTAAACGGAGTCGACCATCACATCCAGACGAATACGAATTACAAGCAAACGATGATTCCAGGCGACCCCGAGATCGAGGCTGCGGAGGAAGAATACATGGTTGTTTGGCGGGATTCCGACATTATGATACCCGCACACACCGACCTGAAGCGCGACCTTGCGAGCATGGGCTCTTGCGCCTCCAACGAACTTGAGTGGAACAACGACAAGAACAACGGGGTCCTGCGGTGGACCGAGGAGGTGTTCGAGCATCAGAGCCGCTGGGCTGTCAGTCCGAGGATCCTTTTTGGACGACAGATGGATGGAACCCAAGGTGGAAATGGTGCTGGTGTTAATCTGCTAAACAGCATTGGCTCTACAGCCGGTTGCCCGACTTCGAAAAAGGTTGCCCTCATTGGCATTGCTACCGACTGCACCTACACGGCCAAGTTCAACTCGACCGAATCTGTAAGGCAAAATGTCATCGACATGGTCAACAAGGCGTCTCAACTCTTTGAGAGCTCCTTTAGCATCTCTCTAGGCATCCGGAACTTGACCATCAGCGATAAGGAGTGCCCGGCCACGCCTCCTGACAGCGCGCCCTTCAACATGCCCTGCAGCAGCGGTGCCACTATTACCGATCGCTTGGTGAAGTTCTCCGGTTGGAGAGGCAAGTCCAACGATAACAACGCCTACTGGACTTTGATGTCAACCTGCAATACTGGTTCTGCTGTTGGCCTTGCCTGGCTGGGCCAGGTCTGCCAAGTAGGCGCTGCGAACAGCCAGGACAATGAAACCGTCGCGGGTGCCAATGTCGTCGTCAGCACATCTACCGAATGGCAGGTCTTTGCCCACGAGTCGGGTCATACCTTTGGTGCAGTCCACGATTGCCTTTCAAACACGTGCACAAACGGCGACGCTAGAGAAAACAAGTGCTGCCCTCTTTCCACCACCACCTGCGACGCCAACGCTCAGTTCATCATGAACCCGTCCACAGACAGCCGCATCACGTCCTTCTCGGCCTGTACTGTCGGTAACGTATGCAGCTTCTTGGGCAGAAACCCCGGCAGAATGAGCTGCCTATCCAACAACAAGGACGTGGTCACCATCAGCGGTCAGCAATGTGGCAACGGCATCGTCGAAGCTGGCGAGGAATGCGACTGTGGTGGCGAAGAAGGGTGCGGAAACAACACGTGCTGCGACCCCAAGACGTGCAAGTTTACCACGAACAGCATTTGCGACCCAGCCAACGAAGAATGCTGCACCGACCAGTGCCAGTTCGCCGGCGCCGAGACCATCTGCCGCGCCAGCACTGGCCCTTGCGATCCGGAAGAGAAGTGCTCCGGCACCGGCGGCTCCTGCCCGGCCGACAAGACCGCCGACGACGGCACCTCGTGCGGTGACTCGCTCACATGTGCATCAGGCCAATGTACCTCTCGCGATCAACAGTGCAAGACGTTCATGGCGAACGAGGACACACACAACAAAACAAGCTCGTGCTCCAGTGACGGCTGCATGCTCGCATGTGAAGGTCCCATGTTCGGAGATGATCGGTGCTACACCCTCCCGCAGTACTTCCTGGATGGCACCCCTTGCGAGGGCGGCGGCAAGTGCTCCAACGGCGTCTGCGAGGGCGCCAAGCTCAGCAACCAGATACTCGACTGGTTCAGAAACAACAAGAACATAGCCATCCCCGTCGGCTGCGTCATCGGTGGTCTTCTCCTCATCGCCTTCATCAGCTGCTGCTGCAGCTGTTGTCGGCGCGCGCGGTCGAGGAGAGTACCTCCGAGGATGGCGCCGCCGCCAGATATGGGCCGCCATCCTGCGGGGTGGAACTGGGGTGGAGGTAGGAACGGCGGGCATGTTCCGTTGCCGTCGCAATCGGGACCGCTACCGCCGCAATCGTACCAAGGGCCACCGCCGCCATATCAGCGGGGACCGCCGCAGCCTCCGATGGGACATCCTATGGGCCAGGGACAGTTCCCGGGCCAAGGAGGAGATGGGAGGTATGAGGCCGTTTAGGGAACAGCAGAGGGGATATGCTAGGTATGCTTGAGCGCTGCCGGGCCTATATGTGTGTGTGTGTGCGTGTACGTATAGACAGTGCTGTCTGTATGTGAGCGAGCGTATACGGTGTTTGTATATTGATGATAAATGATGACCCTTTTCTGTTTTTATACTTATTTCGAATAGATCAAATGTTTTGTCTAACTTAAGCTTGGCCACGCCAAATTTCGGGAGTTATTTGCGATTTGACTTTTGCGGATTGTGCCTATGAGAAATGGATACTGCCCCAAATTCCGCTGGCCGAGGCCCGGCAACTAACTGGTGTGCTCAACATGCTATGCACGTAGTTATATTATGAATGCCAACATCCTAGTGTCGATGTGCCTAGGGCTGCCCCCACGGTATCTCACCTAGGTAGCTTGCAACGGATCATCCCTACTCACGTCCCAGGAACTTACTACGAAGGGACCGTAGAGATCTTTCCATCGTGGGAGCCTCACATGTCCATTACCATAGTGGTGCTCAATATCGAAGTGGTTCTCTATAGGAGATACGATCGTAGTTATCTACCAACATGCACCATCTCGTCTGACGAGTGAGAGGATATCAATCGGGTCTTTTACTCACGTGGTAGGGTCAAAAAACTGAACAATCACCTCCCGTAACAAATCGTTCGTTACGGAGGCAACGGTAAAGAGCTTAACACAATTGGGCAGATTACGAGAAAAATTGACCGTTCTGGAACACTGAAATTGCATTTCCAGGTTGGTCTTACTATTGCTAGCGCAGTCGCCCCTGACATCTGACCCAAACCAGTTCAATTTTAACACCAAGCATTCGAGTCTGAAGAAAAGTTTTGCAACAAAATTGGCCTCCGGGTCTTCCTTTCCTCGATCCCTCCGTCCAGCACGTTCTATCTGGACCTTGAGGGCAAAAGTCTCAGCCGCCATGGAACCCTCACCCTCCTGACGGTACTCATCCTTCCCGCGTAATTAACAAGCATTGTCGATGTCCAAACCCACGGACTCTGCTTTCACCACTCCCGGCAAGGCGGAAATACCCTTAAAGCCCTCGTCGAGGATCCCCACACTTCCAAATGCTTAACGCAGACGCGGCAGAAACGTGGGTGATCTGGAAGTGTCCAGGCAGTGGTCCACCTGCAACACACCCATAGACTGCCTCCGAATA